TGATTTCAGCCATATGAACAGATATTTATACTTAAGTTCTATTTTAGTCAGTAAGGTTCTTCAAAGGTAAAAGAAGATGCCTGATCAGTCTGAATCCCTAAATGTGAATTTCTTGTCACTTGAAGACATTATTTGTAGTAAATCTTGAAATATGTTTCTAGGATATCTGTCTTCCAGCAAAGACATCATGCTTGTATTCAGTTTTGTTGTGACACTGGTAGAGATTTCTGCATGCCAAAATTTGTTTATGTATTGTTCCTTATCTTATGTTCCAGTAGCCTGAGTGTATATTCATTTTGGAGCCAAAATTCAAAGTTCAGTGAGTAGGTTTGGTGTGTGCAAGCACTGAAAACTGTGCTAATCAACTTAAAGTCAGAGTAAGTATAGAATTTTATACTTTGCAGGCTTTATTAATTACTGCTAAAACACTGTTTGGCAGAGCAGTTATTAATCTTTTGAGGATTTGTGGATGATGAAAAAGTGCACAAACTGTATCTCTATATAACTAGTACAAGAACCTGATACCTAAATTATTTTCCCAAAATGTATGGGTAATTCTTGGATTTTCTAAGCAGTAATTATTTACATAGACTTTCAATTTATAATTCTTTGGAAATTAAGTAGTAATGGCAAGTGGTAAATATTTGCATATTGTGAAGTCATTACCACACAATTGTGTGATAATCTCTCAGAAAATATCAAGAATTATTTATCTATTGGACATCCAGCCAGTGCTTCATTATAGTCCAATGTGGCACAACCTAGTGTTGATCTTTTTTGTGAAAATTCACACACCAAAATATGCTTTAAGTTTATAAGGTTCCTGTTACTTTGCGTGCACTTGTTTGCTTGCTGTTTATTATTGAGACCTTCTTTCAAATGAAGTGTCAGGATTACTGCACTCACCTGCTGTTGACAACATAAACTGTTGCCTGCAATTACAATTTACCTAAACTTGGGGGGAATATCTGAATTCATCTTTAAATTCTCTGCTGTTATATGGGGGATGTATGCAACTTATTGGGTTTTGTCCCAGTGCTAGCAGTTGCTTGTAAGTAGTTTTTTAGGTAATGAAATCCATTTTAGGATTTGATGTATTAGCTCTTTAATTAAATGTTTTAAAATAAAATCAGTGATGGAATTAGATTACTAGGATGTAAAGGTACAGAAGTCAGATAAAACCCTCTGTCAAAAGATAGGCCTAATGTCTCTTTGAAGAGACATAGTCTTAAAATACCTTATTTTCAATCCAATATATGAATTAGTATTAAAATTATGTTCATGTATTGATCTGAATACAAATGCAAACGCATGAAGCCCATATGATTCAAGAGCTTAATGTATTTATACAGGTGCTAGTTGGATCTCATTGTAGAGCTTTAACATGAGTCTCTTATTTTTCTATTAAATTTTGAGATAGGTACTATATACCAAAGTTGAGGCCATTCTAAGAACATTTTCAGTTTTTTTACTTTTTTATACTTAATCCAGTGGGAGGACTAAAAAATTAAATATTATTATTATTACTTAAATTTTGTGAGCTTTTTAATTTCTTTAGAAACTGATGAAATAAAAATGGGAGGACATATCTCTGGGTATTATAAAAAATTTGACAGGAAATCAGAGGAGAACTAGAAATTAGAGCAGAGTTGAAAAGAGAGGGTTTTTTTCCTAATACAGAATACAGATGAACCAAGATTGATTTGATTATTAGTAGTAATTGTAAAATTGCAGTACAGTAAGAACTCAATCCAGGAGAAACACAGTATTAATTTCAGTCTGTAAGTCTGAGTACAGAGGCTGTACATGTATTTTTGTTGGTAGAATACTGTGCTTTATACTCAGACACAGGAGATGATATGTTTATTTGTAAATAAGTATTTACAAATACACACAAATAATTACTTGAAGCTATGTAGATTCTGCAAATAAGTTAGTAGGACAAAGCAGTCTTTTTCTATAATTGCCCTTCCCAAAAGCTGGTTAAACAAATATGTCTAGTTTCCTATTGTTTTGAAACTACAAATTTAGTTTTGCTTGGTTAAGCCCTAATATTGCAAGTTTGCCCTTAAAAGATAATTTCTCTCTAAAACAGCAAGCACAAAGTAAGATATAGAATGAATGCCCAGCCCAGCCTGCACAACAGGCTTGCTACCATGTTGTTAGAATAATTACATTTTGGCTGAACTAACTAATTAAGAAGACCTGCAGTGCATCTAGCAAGACTGAAAACTTTTCAGGACTGGGTTGGAGTTTGGTTTTTTTTTATTTTTGCATGCAATTTAAAACAATGCCTCTTCCAGCTGCCAACAAACTCTTTCCCTGAATCTCCCCATTCCTGGCTTCTCTCCTGACCATGTCCTGGCTCACCTCCAGAGCTGCCAAGTTTATGCCAGAAGCAGGAGGTAGATTTGTATGGGGCTGGAGGAAGATCTGGAGCTCTGTTAAATTTTCAAGCCCAGATGGGGCAACATGATTTGTGTGTTTATGTCAGGATGCCATACATCACAAGTATCTGTGTGCTGACGTCAGCTTTGATTGAACATTAATGTGCTGAACGCTGCAAACTAGAAAATACATGATAGATACAAATCTATGGCAACAATGCCACATAAGCAAATGTCTGTTTGGTGTGGCAATTCACTGTGCGAAATATTTCCCAAGATGCACTGCATTAAGCCAGGGGAATATTTTTACACACTTTAAAAACAAAACCGTAATCAGCAGGCAAACAGACTGCAATTTAAGAAAGCAAACCTATTAAGAAAAACTGAAGCCAGCATTGACATATGTATCATTAGGCAACTATTGAGGTGCTGTCCCTCACTTTAATCTTTCCAGAATTAAGGCCAAATAGGAAAGATGCTATTCCTGTTTTTTGCAGGACTGTTAATGGTGAGGATACCTTGCTGATGGCTGACCATCTTTCAGTCCAGTTTTTGTAACCCATTTTTATCCAAACCAGCAAGCAAAAACATTAATGGACAGCAAATTTTTCTTTAAATGGTAGAATATTTTTTCCATACTGAGAATTAGGTTAGCTTCCAGAAATCATAATTTTGTTTATTTATGTACCAATTTTGTTTTGCCTGCTAATACAAATAACATCCAGCATCCTGCCGAAGAACTGGAAAGATATGGTCATTTCTGGTCTGTGGAAATCTAGAGATCGTTGGCTACTTCAGATTTATATTTATACCATCTTTGTGTGGTTGTCTCTGTAGAATAATGTAACCAAAAGGTTCCATTAATATGTAGTATACTGTCTCTCTCTTCCTAGAAGAGGAAGTAACTTGCAAGTCAGCTTTAATATTTCGGGGGTGGATATAAAAGCAAAGCTTAGGGATTGATGGGTAGCCAGTGTTCTTTTAACTCAGATCACTCATGTTATTCCTCATAAAGGAAATTCTGTAGTGTTTTATCATTATCCATCATTAGACTTTGCAGGTAAAACTGAAGTTCCCTGATTCTGTGGGGATAGATCATTTTGGCCTGTGCACAAGTACGGGCTTTTAAAAGAGATCAGTCCCCAGGATTTAATGCCATCTGGCCCTAAGGTGGGAATGGGAGGGGGTGTAAAGGTGCCATGGGATCTGTGGATTTAGGCCTTGTAACCTGAGCAGATTGGTCTGTGCAGGCAGGCTGCAAGTTACTTTCTGTAGAGGTCAACAAGGAGAATTCAGATTATTCTTTGATGAGAGTAGGAAATGTTCAGCTTTCATGTCTGCTTTGTAGGCCTCTCTGTGACTAGGAAATAGACTGTCACTGAAACGTGGGTTCCTGAAAGCAATTGATGTACTAATCGCTATTTTAATAAATGAACCTGTATGTCAGTACAATGAATGGACTTTTCCGACTTATCAAGGGATGTTTCCCTTCTCTCTGCTCCTAATTACTTTACAAATTGTTAGTATCAAATACTTCAACAGTATTTAAATTGGCATTTCATAAGAAGCATTGCTTGTATAGTTTATGAAAGAAGTGCAGAATGTACAAAATGCTTTAAAATACATAAAAAATGAAAAACTGTAACTTGTAGCTTCTTCAAACTTGTAATGGGTATTTTGAGGTGTTTGATCTTGATAGCCATGAAAGTATGATGGGTATATCGCCTACAGCCATCAAGAACAAAAGTATACCAGCTGTCCAGGCAGCTGCAAGATAACAACTTCTTATTTTAAAGAAATATTTTGCTTTTAGCACAGATTTGTCTCTTTTTTTTCTTTTTTTTTTTTCCTCATTAAATACTGACATCATCAAATCATTTAAGAACATTTAGTCTGGAGTTAACCTCTGAAGATCTCTGTTGTCACCTTTGAATGTTGTTTTCTGCTCCATAAAATGAAGTAAGGAAAACTGCGCAGAAAACAGCTTATTTAAGGCACATGGCACTCCATTGTTGCACGAGGCATAAGGCTTCACTTACCACAAATATATTGAGAAATTCTAATGCTGCTTGAAGCCTTAGATTCATATGTTGTGTAGAGAGTAACTTTTAGAAAGAAAAATACTGGAGGAAAGAAATGCTTTGGGTTTCCATGGTTTTGACTGATGACCAAAACAAATAATCATGTGGGTTGTACTTGCTCAAAATCTTAGAGATATACTTAAGTGTATCCAAAACCAAAGTTTTCAGAGCACAAACAAAAGCTGGGCATCTTGACTCATAGTAGAAGTCAGTGAGAGGTGCTTAACTGCCGCATAGTTTGTAAATATCTCTTGATGTGAGCAAATGCTGATGTTCTGAAGATTTAGGAAAATATTAATTTTTTGCTGAGTTAGCCCTTTTATAGTTTTTCCTTGTCAAATATATGTTTTCTTTAGACCAAAATTTCAAGTCCTTTTTCTTAAAAAAATAAAAAAGCCCTCTAATGTAATTTCTAGGTATTTATGACCTATTTTCTCCCCAGTTTGCCATTGAGAAGACCAAGGCTTACTCTATGAACATTAATTACCTTTTTCATCACATAGGATGTGTATTTTGTTTCCATGTCTTACAGAATAAAGCAATTATGGAACGTGTAACAAACTTGTCAGATACAGTACTTGGTCTTGAATCATTTATTGGCTCAGAGAGAGAAACCAATCCATTATACAAGGACTACCATGGTAAGTTCCTTCTTTAGCAATGCAAAAAGTCTGCCTTGAGTGTTTCTAGGGCACTTAGTGGCTTACCCTCCAATTGGGTATCTGCTATAAAGTAGCATTTGATTTCATTTTAGAATAAACCTCTTAAATGTTTCTCCTTGCTAACCAGGCTTGAGTTAGGAAAATTTTCAGTAAAGTGCATTAAGGCTGCAAAGGAAACATGGCAACTCCTTGCATGTTGTCAAGCCATATTACGGAGGCATGGCTCAATCAGATGTACATCTCAACAGGCAGGCTTTGGGGAATTCACATGCAGAGGAACCTTGGCAATCATCTGACCAGCGAGCTGAATCTGTCGTGAAATCAATACTTTTGATCTGCCAAGTTTTAAATAGAGAACACGGGAAAACATATATTATATTAAGGTGAATAAACTGCTAAATGGTGTGCTGTATAAACTTGATCTAAAAATAATGTTCTGGTTTTCAGCTTTATGTTATAGCACTTACGCATTTAAAGAAATGAATATGAATATGTGTGGCATGGAAAATGCAAAACTAATTTTGGTACAAAATCATGTAGACTTTCAAGTGATTTATCTTTGAAACGTGTAATGGTGTTTAATCTTGTTTGTTGTTTCCCAAAAACTATGTTAGCTGCTTCAGCAGAACTATTTAAATTTTAAAAGACTAGATTAGAAGTTATGCATAGCCAAAGCAGTGAATGAGAAACAATTTTAGCTAATCCAGAGCGGTGCTCCAAGGGTGCATAAATTACAGCTATTATTATTATGATACTACTGGAGTTCCATAGAAACCTTTAGTTGAAAGTAAACCACTTACCCAAAACCTGCTGTAAACATGTGAGAATGTGGCAGTGTTTTCCACAGCAGCATACACAGAAAAAGAAGCAAAGATGGTGTTGAGACACCATTGTGTGTATGCAGGCTGTAATTAATAAATCAGAGAAAAATCTTTTTTAATCTGAAAATAGTGCACATCTCATTATCTGAAAAAAAGGTGAACAAAAAAAGAAATGTGAACCAAAGCTAGAATAATTTGCCTCATTATTTTTTCAGCTGTATAATGGTGCTGTGGCATTTGTTTATGCTAACATAATTCTGTCAATTTGATACTCCCTTTCTCAGGGAAAGGAAGAAATTCTTTAAGACAATGTGTGTTTTAGCAGTTATTTCCTGGGTTCCTGTAAAACTGTATGCTAAATCATTTCTGGTACTACTTAATAAAAATGATATGCCAATATACATAGCTTTTGAGGTTTAGGCAACCGTAACTTAACATTCTAAAAAAGGTATTCTTGACAGTTTTAACTTTGTGGATTCTGTTTGCTTAAGAATATATTTTAAGATTATTTAATTACTGCAGATGGTGGAAGATTTTGACATTCAATAGAAGCTTACTTAAATTATTGCATTATTTAATAAATCCTACACAAATAATTTTATTAAGCTGTCTGTAAATCTAAATGATTGGAAAGTCCATATAATAACAAAAGAATTATATAGCTGATTTTTAAGTAAAAATTTTAGAATACTGTGTATAAGCAACCTTGTGTTATACCTGGTATTTCTATACATAATAATTCTATTTTGAACTCATGAGCCAAAGAAATAATTCTCCTATGTCACCAGACTGGAGACAGGGATAGAAGGTTTCAAAGTATAAAAATATTTTTCTAATACTGTTGAGAATTTTTGTAATTGGTACCCATAAAAATGGTGCTTTTAAAATTATTTCTATTTTAGGAAACTTTCTACCCTTTTTCTTCCTTAAAAAAAAAGAAAAAAAAATAAAACCCCCCAAAAATACTTGCCTTACTTTAAATTAGGGTTTTAGTGCTTGGGGTTTTTCTCACAGCTGCCGTTTTCAAGTAAGTTGTCTTTTATAAATGTTCAGTATTTCCATTTAGATGGTGACTTTATGAATAGCAAATATAGGCCAGTAATTGAGAAGCCCTGTAGAATTTTCCTGGGTTTCAGATGTAGGAAATCACCCTTAGGTTGTTCAGAAACTATATTAGGCTGCACAAAAACCATCCAGCGTCCTTGTCAGAAAAAATCAGCTTGAGCTTTAGCTGACAGAATGCAGAGCTTGCAGTGCACCTAGTACTGTTAAAATCATCTGAACAGCTCTGTAAGCCTCCTGCACAAAGAAAATGTATTTCTCCAAGCATGGCATAGGGGTTAAAATTTCTTGAAAAGCAGGATCTAAATCAGTATTTTCCAGCAACTTGATTTCAAGTCGTTTTCAGGGAGCAAAACGAAGTACTTCTCATTAGAGCTTCAGTGGTTATCACTAACCCATAAGCCTTGTTTTGCTGGCTGCTTACTGGTGCATTTAATAAAATAAAGATCACTCAGTGGTGCCGTGGGCAGCATGCAAGGTGATAGCCATATTTGCTTACTGTAAATAAAAGAGAAAATCACACACAAACCGGCTGTAGTTTTGACAAGTACTAAGATCGCTCTTTACATCTGTACTTCTGTACCAAAGTGCAATTAGTTTTCCTCGCAAAAGGATTTCTGTTTATCTTATTCTGCTTGATTACTTGAGTATAATCACGCCATTTGCTTCATTGCTCCTGGTAGTAAGCTCCAGTTTAAAAAGGGGAGGATGAGTGTGTAAATATACAGAATTCTGCTGTAGGACTAATTTATGCATCTAGATGACAGCGTTTTCTTAATTCTTTTTCCTCCTTTACTCTTTCTTTCCACCAGGTTTGGTTCATGTACGTCAGATTCCTCGGCTTAATAGCTTGATCTGTGATGTGTCAGACACGAAGGATCTTGCTTTTAGATTAAAAAGGAAGCTGTTCACCATTGAGGTAAGAGAAACAGTTTTGTTTCACTATTTAGAACCCAAAAGGTGGAGCTAATCCCATCTCTTATGTTTCGTTTTGTGAAATGCATGAAATATGCATCAGATGTTGTAAATTCATTTCACTCTGGTTTTGCTGTTCAGTATGACTTTATAAAATCCTGTTATATGAATTCTAATTAAAAATGTCTCATTTGCGGCACTAAATCAGTCCGTTATAAATAGTTTATTTGGCTTTAAAATGTACATAGAAAGTAGGCCACAACCTTCAATAACAAAGTGTGACATGTTTCTAAGGGTGTCGGGAGCATATTTAATTAAATGTTAATGACTTGCTCTTACTTGTGTTAGTGGGTGGGAAAGTAGCTACATGTTATTACCCCAGTAGAGGGATGTTAATGTCTAATGCTGCCTAAAATTGTGTGTGGTATGAGGGATAAGTGTCCTTATCAGTATTCAGAAACCATTTTCTTTGCATTACAGAAATCACCTTTCGCTCTTTTATGTCATTTTAAACACAGTATCATTTACACTAATGTCCCTAAGTAAATTTCCTACTAAATTTAAACTTTTTTCCATGACCTTTATGCAGACAGTCCTGATAGAAGGCAGTAATACAAAAGATGTATTTCATTTTAATCTTGCTAAAGAGCAAATGAACATAGCACTATTAAGCAATTAGAGCTGATGTATTTATTAACCAAGTAATGCTTAGAGATGGAAGATGGCTTTCAGGGCGCTGTGATAGTCATTGGTACAGTCTGGGCAAATTTTTTTTAACAAAGACATAAAACAGCCAAGTATCCCTGACAAACCATTTTGTTTAATCTCTTTTCAGATGAAAAGCTCTTAAGCAGGCCACTTGTCTTAACTTCTTGAAACCATAAAAAGAGAGAATTGCCACCAATAAATTAGCATATTTTTTACTCCATCACCAAATGATGGTCAATGTGGCTTGGCACTGCTTTGGTGTTTGGGACTTCACCCTTAAGTGACCATTTTGGCCCTTATTTGACCCTCTGCCCTTTTTAGCTGGCCACTTGATAAGGTAACTTAAGGGTTCTCTCTCTTCACTGCCCCCTCCCCTTCACAATTGCAAGTAGCCCTAACCTATAAATCATTGAAAGGGCCCTATCAAGTGACAAATTAAGGTGCCCTCCTCCTAATTAATGGTCATCAATGTCTTTAATTATCTAACCCTATTGAGAGTAGTTAATAGTTAATCAGGCAGCCAGTTCTTCATGCAGGTCATCTCTGCATGAGTGCTAGAAATTTCACAACTAGAGGTATCCTTTTCAGAAGCCACTTAAAGGCAAATACATGGAGGAGGAGGTTTTTCCCAAAGACATTCCTTCATAATGCTTCTCACTTTCCAGGGAATGTGGTTAGTGAAACCAGTTAACCCATTTTAACAACTGCTTTTGAGCGGTACATTAGAAACAAATACCTTAATAGCCATCTGTTTGATTTTGAAATACAAACATTCTTAATATTTTCAGAAGTGCAGAGAAGAGTGCACCCTCATTTCACAACATAGTAAATTTTCATTTATTATGGCTATGAATTAGAATATTTGGGTTTTTTTCCCTCACTGAGTCCTGACTCAGAATGTATCTTTTTCTGTCTGCTGTATTTGGGATTCCAATTTGTAATGTGATTTGGAACAAAAAAAAACCAAAACCAACACCAAACAAAAAATGACAAAACCTTTAGCAGGAGTCTCTGTAAAAAGCATGGAATTAGCAATGGGACAGAAGTGTTGGAAATGGGTGTAGCAGAACTCTTGAAACAACCTGTTGCCCTAGACTTGCATGGATGACCTGCCTGTATAATTTCTCCCTTCCTTGCTTAGCTGCACCCCCTTTAGAATAACCAGGTTTTGTCAGAGGTGTGCTTTCTATAAGCTGCTGAACTAAGACAAACTAGCCGGTTTTGAACATGCAGGGTCAGTGTCCTACTGTGATCTTCCTGTACACATTTCAGTAATCTATAATATAATATATATGTTTTTCTTCCTCATACTATAGGGGAGGCAGCTACGCTGAGTAGTACACTGAGGTCCGTAAGAAAATGGGAGCAAGGGAAAACTGAATTAAGAAGGGATGTGAATAAGATGGGTTTCTGCAGTTAGAGTGTGTTGTGTCAGCAGTCAGGTTTGGTTCTGGCGGTAAAAACAAAGCAGCACAACACTGTGTATTGTGTACAAGCAACAGTATACTTTGTACAAAGTACATCTAAGTTGTGTACAAAGTACATCTAAGTTGATGATTTCTTTAGTGTGTAGGTTAAATGTGAAGTAAAAATGTATTTTGAGTATGTTACAGTTTTTCAAAAAACTGTATCTGCTGCTTAGATATACACACTTTAGGGTGAAGATACTGACCTCTACTTGAAATGCCATTTTAAAAACAAATTATGTAAGAAAAGTTAGAAATATACAACCTGTGATTTATGGCAAAATTTCTCTAAAAAAGCTTTTCATCACTACATCATTCTTTTTTGACAGTTTAAAATAAGGGCATGGGACATGGATTTTCTCAGCTCTGGATTGCTTACCAGTTAAATCATTTTATGGTTTGGCCCTCATCTGTAAAACAACCTTAAATGTCAAATCCATTTTATTAGATTGCAGTTTTGTGAGAGGGACTCCTCCTCTTCATAGTCTGCAGAATCATTGAACTGTTGCAGGTTTTCCTGTATCTTCGTCATCAAAATGAGATTGACTGAAATGTATTCTGAAGGGATTTTTTTTTAATTGAAGATTTTTTTATTAATATTTATGAGTGTTCATTTTTCATTCGTAAATAATGTGGTAGACCCTTTCAAGGAAAACTTACATGTTTATCATAAAAGGTGCAGTAGCTCTATCAAGCTTTCCCAGATCTTCACACAGTAGTTACTAGTGATATATTATTATATGGAATATTATCAGAGATCTGTCATATGTGCATACCACTTTAAAGGATACAATTTTGAAGTTAGCCTGTCTAATCCTATTTCTTCCCACTTCGGAATCTTAATTAGAAGGAGATAAAAACCATCATTTGACTAAATTATTGTCTTGAATCTGTAGCAAAAGGTATAATCCGCAATTGGGCCAATTAGTGTACCCCATAGTTAGCTATGCTGAGGCAGGAAACTTGATTAGATCTGACACCAGCCTAGTTCCCACTGTTGTTTTGCCAGGTATGATGGTCAGACTTCAAAGGGCTTGAGGCATCAGCAGGGCAAGGTTTGGAGGCCAGCTTAGGTCCGGTCGTTAATCTCTCTGCTAAAACCACAGCAGCCCTCTCACAAAACAAGCTTACAGGACACAATCATGCGGTATTAAAGTTTGGGTTGAGTCATGCCAATTTGCCTTTGATTTTCTGATGATTGACTAAAAGATGGCTACATGACTAGACACATACTGAAAGTTTACTGATTAGATAAGTTCCCCAAATATTTGAAATATTTTTTGATTTCTCAGTTAAATGATATGACAGCCCATTCATCTTAATGAAACTTTTCAGCAGAATTGTTCTTGAAGTATTTTTTTGCTTTGTTTGTAACTCTGAATGTAACTTTCCTCAGCATTTGATAAATTGCACAGGGACGTTAGCTTCATAGTTTTATTTGGTAGAACTTGGTCTTTGTTGTTCCAAAGCCTCCTGTATGAAAACTAAAGGAATCTGTGCCTAGGTTTGATTTTTTTTCACTCCTCAAAATTTCTAAGGAACTGTTGTTTGCCTTTGTTATTACGTATGTTTACGATTACTTGCAAAAAGAGAATTTCCTCTTAATTATTTTCCACCTTACTGTAGATTAAAGTGCTGTTCCAGGGCTGCGATTACATAAGTGTTCCTTTCTTTTTCAGTCTGATTTGTTGAAATATTGCAGTAACAGTGACATGTTTCCATTCTGAGAAGAGCCTAAGGCTGCTTTAGTATTATTCCAAATGATTGAAATTGCCATCTTGCTGACTTTCCCTTGGGCAGCTTAAGGCCTGTTTACTTTTGTATTTGTTTCACATGTTCCCTCTGAGTTTGGCTGGCAGGACATCATTACCTGGTTTGACAAGACATTTGGAGAAGATTCATATTTGATTAACTCCCTTTGTTACTGGCTGATCAACATAAACCTCTGAAATTAGGTATTTAAAGTTAAAACTTTTGATGAATTCATATAAATGTTTGCAAATAGGAAAATTTATGAGTTTAATTCCCTAGTTTTGTTTTACTGCTAATTTTTTAAGTATTTGGGTAACAGTCAATTCGTAATAGTGAAGAAAATAAGCGTTTTCCTACAAGTTTTATAGTACAGTTTGTCAAATAAATGCTTGTTGTGACTTTTATCAGAGAGCCAGAGGTAAGAGTACGAGCCAGATGATATGATTTTCTTTTTAATGGCTGTATAGCACCTGTGCAAACCAGAATAGAACTCTTAAAAAAACAGCTCAATTTGAAACCAAGTGTCATATGCTATATAAAGAATTGCCACACAGCAAAAATAAGTAAGTTTCCAGAGCTTAATGTTTGAGCTCAGAAGATTCTTTTCTGAGAGGTGTTTCCTAATAGGAGAAGTAAGTCAGAATGAAAGGAGTCCTGTGGCAAGCAAGTTGGTTTCTCAGTGGCGGGCAGATGCAATATGGTACTATGGAGCACTCTGCAGTGCATTTTTGCCAGTGGTAATTGCCTGAGTAAAAGGTTATGTCTTTGGAAGGAAACATAATCACAAAACTCAGCAATTAGGTCTGTACAGAATTAAAGTAAATGTATGATTCCAAAGGCATTAAAATAAAGTCCTTTCTTCATCTGTCAAAAAAGACGATAAGAAAATTAATGATTGCCAAAATATTTTTAATATTTAATTGCAACTCCAGACATTCATGTGTATGCTGTGTCCAGCACTGGTATCTGGATGGAGGCTTAAAACTCTTTTTTGTAAGATAGTGAATTTGGCCATTAAAACCAGGAAATATCTTAGGTAGCTTCCATCTGAATTCTCTGTTTTTCTCTTTTGGGTTTTTTTAATACCAGTTGTACTGTAATAAATTTTAAAGAAGAAGTGCAATTAGCCACTGCTGTACATTATTTACCAAAAGAGGTGGTAAGACCAAGTCAGAACTGATGTCTTCAGTGCTTCAGTGTGGTATTAGCATCACACAGTTTGGTCCTAAGAGACTCAGGAGATGGTGGTGTCAGTGAGTGCCAGAACTGTGCTCCTGGAACATTTTGTAGTTATTCATTAAACACATCAAGAACAGATACAAACATAATGGTTCAGGGTTATTCATGAGCTGTTTCTTCTGGAGCAATAAATCAACCCAATCATCAGTACATATGGGATCAGCATATATTTAAAATACAGAGGTTGTTATGGCATGTATGTGTATCAGTGAGACTAGAAAGTGCCTTTTGTACCTCTAACAGCATCACTTCTTATAGGCTTCTTCCAACAAAATTTGAAGCAGCTTTCATTAATGACACCCCCTAAAGCTGACTGTATTTCACTGATGTTTATAAAATTGAGCAATTTTATAAATAAACAAACACATTTGAGTTAATCAACTATTTTAGGCACTATTTTAACAAAAAGAATCTGTGAGACAGTGATCTGACAAAAGGCAAAACATTGGTTTGTTATAAATTTCAGTAAGGTAATAGTTCTTTAGCAATTGAAAATGAATTCTTGTTTGCTGAGATGACGTTCACGCATTGTAACACCAATGCTGGTATATGCTACGTGATACGTATTGTAATGTTGGGAGCTCAGTCAATGTACTTTGGTAGATAAATCGTGGCATTACAAGACTTGACCCCATGTTAGGGCCTTACAACCTCAGAATGGAATCTGCTTTTACCAAGCCAGAGGGTAACACAGTTGTGACTGCCCACTGCCCAGTGTCTGGAGCATAAGTGAAACTTTACAGTTTTTCCTGATTGAAATGTGAGACAGAACTTTTCTTTAGGGTTGCAGAAAGTGTATTTCTTTAATTTTCTAGTGTAATAAAATCCTTGGGGTCTCTCATTCCACATGCTTGAGAACACAAGTACCCTTGGAGCTTACGTGGAAAACTTCTCTTTCTCCTCAGCCTGCCTTGAGCAGATAGCATCATACCTGGGGCAGACTGTAGTATTGGATGCTCCACTTCAGCTCAGGGACTCAAATGTAGAGAACTCTGCACATAAAACTGAACTTTCTAACAGAGAGTGGTAAAACATTGTAATAAAATTCAGATTAAATTTAAGCCAGTCAAACCACTGTTACATTGATTTTTGCTGGCCTTTTTCCCTATGATATTAATAAAGAAATTACCACTGTTTTATTTAAACATAGTTCAAAAGATACTAATTAGAACACCATAAAATTTTCTCAATCTAAAATTAGTAATACTGCAAAAAGATATTTCTGCAAACTATAATATCATAATTCCAAGCTCCATTTTGCATTATTTCATCTAGTAGCCAGTTCAGGTTCTTTACCTGGTATGGTGTACTTCACTGAATTGTTTTGTCAGATGCTGTCAAGCCAACCTACCGTTGTTAAAGAAAATCAAACTAAATCATTTTGTCATGAGCCTTGCAGGAATAAGGCACAGAATATGAAGGGTTTGATGAAATCAAGGATTTTATTTCAATATTGTAAAAGGCTGCCTGTCAAAAATATATTACATTCTTTCAAACACTTTTGAATAAATAAATGTGTTTAAAATTGTGACAGTGCAATTTAGATAAAGTTTTGGGAGATTATTTTTAGATTGTAAGAACTTGAGGTAAAACAGTACTCGGAGTGCTCATAGTTAGAAAAAACCCTTGAATATTTATGGTACATAGAACTGAAGTCAAGTGATAAGTTTTATGTGGTGTATGGAATTTCATTCAACTTGTATATTGTGAACATGTGGACAAATTTAGTTTGAAAATAATCACCTTATTGTGTAATACAGAATAATGTAGACTAAATTATTTTAATGTTCTGAAGATGAATATGGGAAGGTACTGTTAACTTTTAGATTGCATACAAAGAGTTGTAGTATCCTGAAGTTTATTTCATAATTAATTTTGATTTATGGGTTGTTTGACATTCTACAAGTGTAACATGAGGGTTCCATTCTAAACATTAAAACTTTAAATACAGCGCATCTGCAGTTCGTTGTCAGTAAACAGAAGTCATATATATTTTTATTAAAACAAATAATTACGTTGTTTAGAAATATTTATACCATAATGGTGTTTTTGCAATGGAAGAACAGGCAACAAAACCATTAATGCAATTAAAGGTCACTGGTACATATTGTAATGGACTGCTCATTTACAGGATCTATGTTAAGGGTCAGTGCTGCAGCATGAAATGAATTGGCCCTGTTCAGTCTGTAAATGAATGGGTCAAGTTATCTTTTATTTGCCAGGAAAATAAAGTAGTTAGAATATTCCTACTTTCTTAGTATTAGAGGACAGGTAGGCTAAAGAGATCATTCATTAAAATGTTGGTTGGTAAAGATTAAAAAACTCTTTATCTACAAGGTATATATTTCTCACTAAAGTAGTAGTGCTCTATAAATATAAGTTAGATACTGTGTTTAAGAGTGTTTAAGAAGCAGAAAGAATTAAGCACTATACGCATAGTTCTCAGCTGGAGCTGAATGCCACCTCTATTAACTGTTTTTTAAAATACCAAGTTTTAATAAAAATAGGGTATTTCATAGTTGTATGATGTTCTCACTTTACAAAGAATAACAAATTTAATGATGCCGTTACATGTTATGTTGGTGTGCTAAACATAAGGAGGACATGGAGCTGGTGGAGCAAGTCCAGAGGGCCACGAGGATGATCAGGGGGCTGGAGCACCTCCCGTACGAAGACAGGCTGAGAAAGCTGAGGCTGTTCAGCCTGGGGAAGAGAAGGCTGCGTGGAGACATAGCAGCCTTCCAGTATCTAAAGGGTGCCTACAGGGATGGTGGAGACGGACTCTTCACTAGGGACGGTAGTGATAGGACAAAGGGTGATGTGTTCAAACTTAAACAGGGAAAATTTAGGTTAGATAAAAGGAAGAAGTTCTTTACTATGAAGGTGGTGAGGCGCTGGAATGGGTTGCCCAGGGAAGTTGTGAATGCTTCATCCCTGGCAGTGTTCAGGGCCAGGTTGGACAGTCTTGGGTGAGATGGTTTAGTGTGAGGTGTCCTTGCCCATGCCAGGGGGGTTGGAACTAGATGATCTTAAAATCCTTTCCAACCCTAACTATTCTATGATTCTGTTATTCTACACAGTAGAACAGATCTCTAAATTTTATACATCTACATTAATGCAGGAAAATAAAAATTTAAGCTTATAGGAAGTCAAATTTTCTCAAGCACCGGTTTACATCAGATCTCAACCTTATTGAAATACATCTAAGTAGTAGTTCAGGGCTGTTACTGAAAAGAATGAGAAGAGGATGAATTTACATCTCTGCGTGGTAGATGCATATCCGTCTGGATCATCTCATCTCAGTACTGTTTGTTATGCTTTTGATTATTGATCTTTGGGCAGAAAATGATTCAAAGTACTCTGTAAAGTAGGAAACTGTAAGGTAGCCCCATCTAAAACTTGGGAAGGATTAAAATGTCATTTTGTAGGTCAACAGAGCAAAGTTGTGAAATGTTTGCTATGACTAGTAGCATGCATAATCAAACAAATTCCAAACTGTTTTTTTGTAATCTTGCAAATTCAAGATTAATTCTTAACATTTCCAGTCTTATGAAAATATTAGTGATTTTGGATGAACATAATCTGTAAGAAACCACTCATTTATGGTTTCTTTAAATTCTTCACCTCTAAAAAAACTTTTTCATGCCATTTTTCTCATCTCTTTGTTTTACTCATTCACAAAGGATATTACCCTTTACTGAACTTTTAATATACAGGAACATTTTATTGAGAGCAAACTAGTCTTACTATTCTTAGTCTGAAATACTTAACAAAAGTGCTGAAATGAGACAGGGGGGGAAAAATAGACTACAGAGTACTGCAAGTGAAGAAAAAATGTTCTGTAACTGTTGTGCAAACACAACTTTCTGCTTTGGCCAAATTATGAGGTATTATTTGTGACTGAATTCCAGAATACATTTTATTTCTATATTCTTGGCTGAGAGGATTGTGCAAAAAGTAGATTGTCATAAGCAAAATGGCTGAGGAGTATGGTGCCTAGGGCATAAACAGACTTAGATTTTGGTCATGCCATCTTTATTGCTCTCTATCTCACAGCTGTTTTAGTTGCTTGTTATTGATTTTATTTTTCTTTTATTTTTCTTGGTTGTATTACGTCTGGTTTTCAAAGGAATCTGTTGTTATGCATAATGCAGTTTTAAATTTTTTCATTCCATATTAAAAACCAGTAGCTTTTCAAATATCAAGTGAGAGTGTCCCCAGGAAGATTATTTATTGCAGTTCAAGAGGTATTTCTGGCCAGCTTACTGTTAACACAGTATTAACACCCTTCAGAATAACATCTTGAATTTGAATGGAATTACCAAATTGCAGTTCAGCTCCCTCTTTCCTCATTCATTCCTTCTGAAGAATGTGAGTGGTAACTGTATAGAGTGCAATAACCAAAGCTTTATATTGATACCCAAAAGTACATAAATAAAGTGAATTTGTGTGCCAGTGTATACCAGCCATTGACTGCTT